TGAACTTTTACATATTCTATTAATTTCAAGCTTTATTTATATATATTTTTCGCTGTGTTTCTTATGCTTGTATTTCAAGTGTTATTTCATAAGTGCCGCAGCACTTATGAAATAACACTTGAAATACAAGCATAAGAAACACAGTGATAAATATATATAAATAAAGCTTGAAATTAATAGAATATGTAAAAGTTCACATCACACCTTACATCTTGTGACAGCACACTAGTTGTGGAACACTGGTGTAGATCACATTGTGTGAGTTATAAGTGACTGTGTCAAAAAGTGAGCCATATATAAGCATTAGTTTGCTTACATATAAAGGCTTTTGAATCACTCTGTATAATTATATTCTATATATGCATATATATAGAACATTAGATAATTTTACCAAATTAAAACATTTCAGAAACACAGAATGTCTAAAGATCTTTTTCAAATTAATAGTATTGCATTAGTTATAGGAGAATATCTATAAATAAAGTTTCTAAAATCTTACTTTCATAATTCCATAAGTACAAAGAAACCCATGCAAATAAGTTTGTTAATAACATATATTTTTATTTATTTTGCCTTATATAACTTAAGTATATTGTGTGATTGCAGCCCTCTGCCTTTTATGTGTCGTATAGCTTTGTTTTTTTTTTTTTGCCTTTTTGGCTACTTTTCAGCTGTGGGGAAAAAGGGGTGGCAACTTGGGGAAGGTGTAAGGGAGGTATTTAAGGCCATGGGCCGGATAGGGGGGTCTTCTTACCTCATGGATCGATAGAGGAGTCAGGGAACACGTGGTGCTCCTGCTGTGGACTTGTTTTTTTTTTTGGTGTGTTCCTGAATTAGATTGGATTGCAACGAGTGTAACAGCTAGGACTATAGAATTGTAACAGTGAGAACTTTTTTTTGTGTGTGAAAAAAAAAAATTGTATCTGGTGATTCATCGTTATAATTGTATCTTGTGAACCGTCATTATAATTGTATCTTGTGAACTGTCGTTATAATTGTATGAATATATATGTATTTGGTCATACTTCTATAAAATTATTACAAACTGGTTTCTTTGTCTCTCTCCCCCACGTGGTGGACCACCTACACTCACAATTAGTAAGACCAATAAGTCTTACGAGTTTCCACAATATACAGTAGAACTTGATTCAGAAATTCCTATATTAGAAGTTTTCTCATGTAAGAAGTTTACTTTCAAAAGTCTCAATTTTTTATTTATAAGAGACGTATAAATTTTTTCCATAAAAAAATGTTCCTATTTAAGTAGATTGAAATCCTCGTCCACAACCAAAAAATGAACTCAATTTAAAAGTTTTTCAATTGCATCCTGTGCAAAATTTTATACATTTAATTCCATATGGTAAAAGAAAAAGGCTTACATTAGGAAGTACAAAAATTTCATATGTCATTTTGCACATGACTTTGGGCTATTTTGCACAAGGATTTTACTTGCATAGTTATCAGGCAGCAAGGCTTATAACAAATAGCCAGTTCTGACAAACACTATTAACACATCAGATTGGTTTGATGGGATACACAATGAAACTAACTGGCAATATGCCAAAAGGGAGTACTTCCAGGAAGGACTATCTATAGGAAACTGGACCCTATTTAGTTGTTAGAAAAATTGGAAACCTCACATAGCCCATTTACAAGGCACAAACCAATACCAGTGTTCAGTGGGGTTATCAAAAAGTGGTGATACTGTCAGTCTTCAACAAATTTTAGTATCATATTCTGTGGTTTTGTTCATGAAAATCATAAACATATGTTTTACATAATAAAATGGATGAAGCAGGTGACATCAGATAAATAAATACATACTGTATAAGCCTAATCCAGTAAATTCATTGTAATGCAGCAAAACAATGTTAAATAAAGATGAATTATTGAAAGAAAAACTATATTATTTTCATTTCTGCTTAACAAGTTTTTTAATTGGTACCTTTAAAAACTTTTTAACCAAGTTCTCTTGTATATACAGTATATGGTATATACAGTAAGTGATATATGTTATCACTTACAAAATGGATATCTCTTTACATATTTTAGCAATAAAGCAACAATTATAGAATAAGATAAATAAATGTTTTAATAAAGTATGACTTTATAAAAATAAATATTTATTCCATATTAAAAAAAATACTATATATATTTAAATATTAATTCTTATATATATTTTTCATGTAAAGGTTTTTATACTTACATTTCCACAGTAACGACTGACTTTATTAGATTCTAATTCATCATGTGTATTATATACTTCTACATAATTCGAGGTGCATCCAATTGTTGAATTTAATTCAAATACATCAAATTTTAGTGAAACTGTATGTTCTCCAACAACTGATATATACCATCGACATTCTGAAGTCTTATTATAAAAACCAGGAAATCTAGGACTTGTAAAAGTTCCATTGATAGTAGTAAAATTTCCTCCACATCCTGGACCTAATCAAAATATAACAATTTTATTTTATTTTCAGAATACAATGTAATATAATTGCAATACTATTGACATGAAAATAAAATCACCATTTTATAACCATAGGAAATGTTTCATTTAAAATTATTATATCAGAATCACATTGTTATTTCTAATTCTTCAAAACTGAAGACATAATAAATCATAATAATACATTATGTCATTAAATCCACAAAGCAGTTTTCAATGTTTAACTTTGACAGTTGAATATCCAAGGCAGTCTGCCATCCTGAAGGACCCGATTCAAATCCAGATTTGGAATCTTAAATTTTTATGGTGGTTTGTCTTAAACACTATCATAATCATGAGTTTGGAAGGTCAAGCCCTTCACTTAATTAGGAAAAAGTGAATAAAGATGTTAAATACAAAAAAATAATTTAATTACAGAGTTAACTACTGAATTAATAATTTACATGTTTGTTACAATCCATTATATTAAGTATTAGAAGCAAAAATTTATTAAAATGTGTAGTGATTCATATTAAATTTTATCTTGAGCTCTTTTGTATGTTGGATCTGGTTATGTTACTTGTACTGGATGTCAGGTCCTATTTCTCAACACCCTGCTGCCCCTATTATAGGCCTGGCATAATCCATAATAAACAAATTTTGCTTTTATATAAGGCTGTTAATTATCTGCCATTGAATATTCAATATGTAATTTTTAAATTTTCGCTNTTATATTTTTATTATGTCAGTCAGAGTTTTTACCAATAAATGTTTTTGGTACAATTGTGTAGATTAAAACTGTTTTGTTTGCAGTTGAAGAAGGCTTCATTAAGACAATAACTGTACTACTATGCATATGTAGCTAGAACTATTTCTAAGACTAACAGCACAAAACCTTTCTCACTAATTTCTAGCCTTATTAACTGGAGTACAAACGTTTTCGGCCTTCTTAATAGGCCTTCCTCGGGTTTGTACTCCAGTTAATAAGGCTAGAAATTAGTGAGAAAGGTTTTGTGCTGTTAGTCTTAGAAATAGTTCTAGCTACATATGCATAGTAGTGTTTCATTTAAAATTATTATATCAGAATCACATTGTTATTTCTAATTCTTCAAAACTGAAGACATAATAAATCATAATAATACATTGTCATTGAATCCACAAAGCAGTTTTCCACAAAGCAATGTTTAACTTTGACAGTTGAATATCCAAGGCAGTCTGCCATCCTGAAGGACCTGATTCAAATCCAGATTTGGAATCTTAAATTTTTATGGTGGTTTGTCTTAAACACTATCATAACCATGAGTTTGGAAGGCCCTTCACTTAATTAGGAAAAAGTGAATAAAAATGTTAAATACAAAAAAAAATAATTTAATTACATAGTTAACTACTGAATTAATAATTTACATATGTTTGTTACAATCCATTATATTAAGTATTAGAAGCAAAAATTTATTAAAATGTGTAGTGATTCATATTAAATTTTATCTTGACTTCTTTTGTATGTTGGATCTGGTTATGTTACTTGTACTGGATGTCAGGTCCTATTTCTCAACATCCTGCTGCCCCTATTATAGGCTTGGCAGAATCCATAATAAACAAATTTTGCTTTTATATAAGGCTGTTAATTATCTGCCATTGAATATTCAATATGTAATTTTTAAATTTTCGCTGGATGATGAAATTTTCTTTAAAAAATTTCATCATGTGTATTATATACTTCTACATAATTCGAGGTGCATCCAATTGTTGAATTTAATTCAAATACATCAAATATTAGTGAAACTGTTTTCTTTAAAAAATTTCATCATCATTAAATTTTCGCTGGATGATGAGATTTTCTTTAAAAAATTTCATCATCCAGCGAAAATTTAAATATTAAAAAAATTTGATAATAATTCACCGCCAGAGAGAGGAAAGAGGATAATCTACATTAAACAGCGCAAATTTCCATTACATATAGAGATCTGAAACTCCCGAACGGAGAAGGATGAAAAAAGCAAGACGTCGTAAGGTCATCAATGTCAATTTTAAAAAAATTATTACTTTTTAATTGGTATGTTTCTATGTTTTAAGGAACTTCTTCCAGGATGACCACGTAGCCTAAAAAGAAAGGTTGGGTCGTTTTTGGAAATGACTACGTCTTTTTTATTTTTTATTCAATATGTATTAAATATAGTGAGAAATACAAACAAATTTAATACACAAAGGCATTTAAGATTTCTTCTTACTGATGTGAAAAATGATAATTATGTCAATATACAGTTCAATAATCAGAAAGTTATCATAAAAATAAATACTTTATTAAATTAGTCTATAAAACATTTTATAATCTATTAAACTTTAAATTTCTTAGTACAGTAGAGCATTGATTATCTGACTCAATTGGGGACTGGGGTTGGTCGGATAACTGAAAAAACAGATAACCAAAAAATATGAAAAAAATACATTATTAGTACAGTAGAGTCTCGAAAACGCAGCCTAATGTGGACCGAAGGATGGCCAAGTTTGTGAAAATGCCGGATTATCAGGAATGGGGTTAAAAAAATAAGTACGAGTGTTTCCTCAGTAAATACTGTACTGTACTTGTATGTATTGTTTACTTGAGAATACAACAGAGAATAAACTGCCCAAATACCCTTAAACAAAGGAAAAGTATGTCCTTTATGAAGGCATAGAGCCTTTACTACATGAAAATGAAAATTAATGAATACACTGTGTACAGTAATTTACCTGATAAGACAGACCTCAGAAAAATACTTTATGAGGCATAAAGCTGTCTATAATGAAAATTAATTAACTAAGGATGTTTTTGCCCTGCCAGGATGTGGCCGAGATATCCAGACTGCCGGGTTATCAAGTGCTGAGTTTTCGAGACTCTACTGTATAGTATATTAGTATATCTCATGTAATTAGTATATTAGTATATCGCTATTAATCTACTTTGCGTTGAATTTTCATCGATGTTAAGCCTAACAAAAATTTTTTAAAATAATAATCGTAGCTATTGTATCGTTAAAAATTAGAAAATTAAGCATCGTTTAAATATTGGCTCCCTTTCATGGTCGAACTATGTTGCCAGCTAAAACACGTAAAAATACTATTAAAGTAGCCAAGAAATAGCCAAATATTGTAGCGCCACATCACTAGCAGACATTTGAATTTGCCGACTAGAACGGTTGATTAACCGATGTGACGGTTAATCAGGGGTCGGATAATCGATGCTCCACTGTATTAGTATTTTTATTGACAATTTATATAACTAAAAATAAAATAAAATAAATAATACATAAATACTATACCTTGATCAGTAATGGAATACATAATAACAAATTTAAGGTAATTCTGCGGCCGTATTCGTAATAACAAATTATTTGAAGAAGAAAATATAGGATTTGGTGTTCTACTACAGAAGATTCCTAACAATGGTGCAGAAATATCAGAGCCATTATGTACCTGTAAAAAATAAAAATTATAATTGGGCTACAATTTGAAAAAATTATGGAGCTGTAAATTCCCACTGTCGTCCGTTTGTCTGTCCTTCTGTAATCTCAAGAATGGTGTTAATTACGTGAAAGCTTAGGGATAGGAGGCCCCGATTAACTATGTACAAACATCTGGTTTGAAACAGAAGTCATGTTTCAATTCGAAAATATTTTCCTGAATGGCATTAGATAGTGACTGGCATGACTCTATTGTTAACAGGAAAAGTATACGTACAGAGGCAATATACTTGTAAACTGAGAGCATTATAAGAATAAATTGCAGCCCAGCATTATGACAATGCCACAATAAATAATTGCTCATTGCTTTATAAAAATGATTTTAATTTATAATTATTAGTTAAACAGAAAGACCTGAATGACAAGACAAATTATGATACAGTGGGTGAAACAGCTGAACAGGAAAATGTACCTAAACAGGAAAATACTTTTGTTTCTTGACAATGCTACACTACATTTGGACACCAGCTCAAAAATGTCAAGATTATATTTTTACTATTGAATGTCACTTCACATTCTCTCAACTTTTGGATCAGGGCATAATTCAATGTTTAAGTCATTTACAGACAAAAGTTTATGAAGCACATAATTGCAATCAGGGAATTGCTCAAATCAGAAAGAAAGTATCTCAATGTCTTCCAAGTTATTTTGTGGATTTTGAACACTTTGAGACAAGCTCTGCATTAACAATTCAGAATTATTTCTTTAAAGCTTGATTTTCTTCCAGCTGTGGCGGTACGCCATGTCTTTGTACACAGGGGTAGATATAAGTTTTATTTCTCCTAATTTCCTTTGTCTTTAACATCTGTTTCTAGAACTTTCTAACCTATTCTTTTTCTATGGGTGGGGGACAACCTTTGTCCAAGGACAAAGGGAGAAGACAAAGGGGATACTAAGAAGCCCTGAGGCCATCAGTAAAAACGAACAAGACACTTTTGGGTCAGCATCTGAGGTGTACAGATGTAAGAAAGAGCAAGCTAAAGGTTTGTCGCCTAGTGGGACAAAAAGAGAAGGCTTGGAAGTTGTCTGCGAATGGATGAAAATTAGAAAGACACCCAGATTAAGACTTCAAAAATGCTCTCGAATTCTCAAAAGACAGAAACGAGAGGAAGGAAATTGATTCAAGTAACGATATAGAGAAGATCGGAGACTGCCAAATTTACCCGGGTACCCCCACAAATCTGTCCTTTATACTTGTCTCTTCTCTTCATATCTCTTCTTCCTTAGCATATAAGTTAGATTAAGGTAGATTTAAGTTAGTTGTAGTATCTCTCAAACCATAATTTTGCATTGTAGCAAGTACGTGTCTCCTGCCTGTGAAAGCATATAGAATTTGTCGGACAGCTTCAAACTTGTGTGCGTACTATAGTTTGGGATCAAGTGTGTTTAGTGTAAACGAACCAGGTGTACGAAGGACAACGTAACCGTAGTTAAATAAAATCCTGTTTAATTTATAGTTACTTCTTTGTCATCTTTTTTTTTTTTGTCCTCCACATCACCACACAGCAATGAGAATGTTTAAAATTTTGCAGTGGTTTTTGCAAATGACATGGAGACAACACAATCTAATGAATTCAACAGAATTTACCATCACTGTAAACAACTGTGGCGATTAGTCACCAACAAAAGAGTTCAGGTTGCACAATTGAACAGGAGTCCGTACTCTAGACGAGGAGTCGACAAAAGGACAAAGGCACATGTTCGAATCGGTCTTTTAAAACCTCAGAACTCCCTCTGGTGGCGATCGGACAAAGTTCGGAATTGGTCGCCACAGTACTCCCCCCCAAGTGCCGAAAGCACGAGGAACTAGAGGAAGTGAGGATTGAAACGAACTCAACGTCCTGAGCGGGTGGTTGTCGATGAGGTGGCCGAGGTGGGAAGCGACATGTCTGTTGGAACTGGCTGAACCGGAGTGTGCGACGTTGTGGTTGGGGGTGGGACGTCGGGATTAGATCCGGCTTCGGGAGGTGACGAGAATGCAGGCTTTAACTGATTGATGTTTATAGCTGATGTTCGTCCGTCGATTCGGACTTTGTACACCGTTCCCTGCCAAGATATCACTTTGTATGGTCCATCGTAGATTGGTTGAAGTGGATTGTGAATTGCGTCACGACGAATGAATACGTGACTGCAGGTGGACAGTTCCTTGTGGATGAAAACTGCACGTTTTGAGTGTGCGGACATTGCTACTGGCCGCAGCTTCCTCATGGTTTCGCAGAGCTGACCGACAAAGGAAGTTGGGTCGATCACCGAGCTTGACTCTGTAGCGAAGAACTCTCCAGGGAGTTGTAGATGGGTTCCATAAACCATCTCTGCTGACGTGGCGTTGATTCCGTCTTTGATGGTAGAGCGCAAACCCAAAAGGATAGTCGGGAGCACTTTGGTCCACCTCTCGGTAGTGAGCTGCCTTGAGTGGACGGTGTAGACGCTCAACCAGACTGTTGGAGGCTGGGTGGTAGGGAGAGGTGCGAATACGCTTGGAACCGAGTAGGCTGGCTAGCGCTTGAAAGAGGGCTGATTCAAACTGCCGACCTTGGTCTGTGGTGATCTGTTTTGGTACGCCAAAGCGGGTGACCCATCCGGAGTAGAATGCCCTCGCTATTGTTTCCACTGAGATGTCTGGTATTGGGAATGCTTCTGGCCAACATGTAAAGCGATCCACACAGGTCAGACAGTAAACGGATCCATGAGATGGAGGTAGGGGTCCAATGATGTCGATGTGGACGTGCGAGAATTGTTCGTCTGGCATGGACAGATTAGTGAGCGGGGCGGAAGTGTGACGAGTAACTTTGCACCGCTGGCACTGTAGGCAGGAGCGAGTCCAAGCGGTGGCGTCGGCTTTCATGGAAGGCCAGATAAATCTCTGCTGCAAGAGCTTAATCGTAGCTCTGATGCTGGGGTGTGAAAGGTTATGCAGCATGTTAAAGATTTCTCTGTGTAATGATGACGGTATATAAGGGCGTACGGTCCCCGATGAAACGTCACAGTAGAGCTGGCAAGTAGAGTCTTCGACCATAAGTCGACTGAAAGACAAGCCCTGTGGCGTTTGGCTTGTCTAGCAGCTCCTTAAGCTCACTGTCGTGTCGTTGAATGGTGAGTTCTTTGTAGTCGATCCGGGACGGCGTGTTTATCGCAGCTATACGGGATAGAGAGTTCGCAACTATGTTGTGGGAACCCTCTATGTGATGTATGTCTGTAGTGAACTGCGATAAAAAATCGAGGTGTCGAAGCTGTCTTGGAGAGGCTTTGTCGGGGCGCTGCCGAAATGCGAAAGTTAGCGGCTTGTGATCAGTAAACAGGATGAAGTCATGACCTTCTAACATGTGTCGGAAGTGTTTTACGGCTGCGTAGGTGCTCAGTAACTCACGGTCGTAAGTACTGTAGTTGCGCTGTGCGGCCGACAGCTTGTTGGAGAAAAAAGTGAGCGGTTTCCATGACCCTGGAACTTCTGTTGTAGGATGGTGCCTATAGCAGTGTCCGAGGCGTTGACCATCAGTGCAAGTGGCCTCGCGGCTGATGGAAAATTTAACACAGTGGCATCTGCGAGCGCTTCTTTGCATTGCGAAAATGCACGTCGCGCTTCCGGAGTCCATACGATTTTTGTATTGTCATTTTTCTTGCTTCCGGACAGAAAGGAGTTGAGCGGTGCTTGCGTGTGTGCGGCTTTGGGCAGAAAACGTCTGTAGAAGTTTAACATTGCCAGAAACCGGCGCAGCTCTCGGATGGTAGAGGGTTCAGGAAACTTTCGGATGGCTGAAACCCTTTTCGGAAGAGGACTCACACCCGACGCTGAGATCTTATGGCCGAGGAAAGACACAGTCTGCTGTCCTAGTGAGCACTTAGAAAGATTTAAGGTTACGCCGTATTCGAGAAAACGTTAAAAAACTTCTCGGAGGTGTCGTATGTGCTCTTCTTTGCTCTTGGATGCCACTAGCACGTCGTCAAAGTAAGGTACGCAGCAATCCAGACCATGGAGGACTTGGTTGATGAACCTCTGGAAGGTCTGGGCTGCGTTGCGGAGACCGAACATCATCACCGAAAATTCAAACAGCCCGAAAGGTGTTGTGACTGCTGTTTTCGGAATGTCGTCTGGATGGACGGGCACCTGATGGTAGGCTCTGGCGAGATCAAGTGTAGAGAAGATTTTAGATACCTCTGCCACTTGTGTGCAGTCCTGGATGTGTGGGATTGGATACCTGTCAGGCACTGTAACGGCATTTAGGCGGCGATAGTCTCCGCAGGGACGCCAGTCGCCATTACGCTTGGCGACCAAATGAAGTGGGCTTGCCCACGGGCTCTTAGAAGGGCGGCAGACGCCTTGCTGTAGCATGTAACTGAACTCTGCCTTAGCTGCTTTGAGCTTGTCCAGAGGAAGGCGTCTCAGTTTGTAAAAAAACTGGCGGACCTGTAGTCTCAATGTGGTGGAAAACGAAAGCCTTGCCGCTTCTCGTTGTTATTAACGAGGGATTCGTGATCAAGGGAAATTCTGCCAGCACTTGCTGGAAGTCAGAATCTCCGTGTATGGTGGTGATGGTGAGATTTGTCGTTGGTTTGGGGCGTTCCGTGCCTCTAGACTTCAGCTGCGTGGCTGCATCTATGAGGCGGTTTTTTCGTGCGTCCACCAATAGGTCGAAGCGCGTTAGAAAGTCTTTGCCTATAATCGGTTGAGTGACGTCAGTGATGATGAAAGGCCATGGAAAGCTTCTTCGCAGGTTAAAATCCAGCGTTAGCAGCTTGGTGCCATAAGTTGGGATTTTCATGCCATTGGCAGCAAAGAGAACTAACTTCCCAGGGGTTTTTGCTTGCAGTGAGAGAGATTTAGGAATCACTGAAACATCCGCACCAGTGTCGACCAAAAAAACTCAAGTTTGTAGACGGGTCGGCCATAAAAATTCAGTCAATCGAGCGGTCGCAACTGTTGGCCCCAGACGGCCGCTCTGCTAGTTTCCCGACTGCTGGAAAGAGCAGGGAGGTGTGCATTTCCTGGCTCTCTCTCCGAAGTTGGTGTGGTAAAAGCATTGATTGTTCATCGGTTCTTTGAACCGGCGGTAACGGCCTCGGGACTGGCTACGTTTTCGGGGGTGGAACGTTGGACGATTATTCATCTCACGTGGTCGCTCACGATGCACTATGGCTGCTAATTCTGCTACTTGATTGGTAAGCTGCTCAATTTGAAATTCTAACAAGGAAAGGTGCGCTAACTGTTGACTCGAAGTGGAATTTACACTTTTCGTGATGGTTAGGTCCAAGATTTTGTCGGCTATTGTAGCTAGTTGGGGTAGGTCCTCACTTAGCGCGGCAAGAATGCTTTGAGTGTTCGCTGGTAATCTTGATAGCCACAAGGACTTTAATAGTGGTTCCCCAACCACCTCGCCGGCGAGAGCACGCATACGATTTAACAGTTGTGACGGGTGCTGGTTTCCTAACTCCAAGCCTTGCAGGAGTGTGAGAATCTTTGATTCTTGGCTTTCCGACTGTAGCTCAATTAGGCGTTTCTTGAGGGCCTCGTATTTTTCGCTGGCCGGTGGGTGTAGGATTAAGTCGCTGACTGAGTTGAGCACCTCGGACTCGATTGCTGAAATCACGTGGTTGAATTTTGTGGAGTCTGCGGATATCCCAGAGATGGCAAATTGTGCCTCGAGTTGCGCGAACCATAACGTCGGATTCGGCTTCCAAAACGGCGGAGGCTTAACAGCGACTCGAGTTACATTGACGGCCATTGTTTCTGGCTGGTCGCTGAGCGGCATGGTGATTTCCAGAACAAAGGATGAGAGCACAAAAAAATCAGTTAAATATGAAATGCATGAATTGTTCGATAGCCGGGTGTACGAGTAGAGAGAGTTCCGATGAGCGAGAAAAAAAAATGATACGCTTACCTAGCGTAGGTGTGGGAAGTTACTCAACCTTTGTTCTGTGGCCATGTGGTTGCTCCAAAAAATATCACAAAATAAAATATGTGGTGAATCCAATTATGCAGATGGAACAAAAATTGTTGAAATTAATGGCGTGAATGTCCAGATAAAATTGGATTGAGGTTGGATCACGTCCGGGTCACCAATGTGGCAATTAGTCGCCAACAAAAGAGTTCAGGTTGCACAATTGAACAGGAGTCCGTACTCTAGATGAGGAGTCAACAAAAGGATGAAGGCACGTGTTCGAATCGGTCTTTTAAAACCTCCGAACTCCTTCTGGTGGCGATCGGACAAAGTTTGGAATTGGTCGCCACACAACTATATAGAGAAATTCTGACATCCTAACCAAATGCACAAGCCAAGTACATAAAGATTCCTTTCAGTCATTTTCTGTGACATAAGAAAGAAAGAATAAAGAAATGACAATGAATATGATAGCAATGGCTTTTCACAACCAAAATGACATCTGCTACAAAGCCATCAATAGTGTCGTGCAGAATGCTCCTAGATGCAGATAATACAAAGTTAACACAAAATTTAATTATGCATAATAAGAAGCATATTACTACAATTAATTGTAAAAAAATCAAACAAATGTAACTGAATTTTTTTATGACCCTTTTATGATAATTCATCACTTATTGTAATATGTCATATTACTATTTCTTGGATGGTATTTATATAATGTTTGTAAATAAAAATAGTGTAGATTACCTGTAAAAATAATTTTCCTCTCTTAAGCAGACATCTTTCTATAACAAATAGCTTTTTTTATTCTGTAAGTGTTTGTTATAGAGAGGTTTCACTGTATTTTGTAACATTAAAATCATTAAAATCAAATGTAAAAAAATTAACTTGATGAATAATGAATAATTGCAATGGAAAGTAACAACTAATTCCTTTTTTTGAATAATTTAACATAATTTTCTTTAACAAATTTGAAATTGTGTCTTCCTGTTTTCTTTGTTTCTTCAGCACGTGCTGAAGATACAAAAAAAAAAAACAATTTAACATAAATTACTTCCAATAATTTTACTTACTTCCAATCCAGAATTTTCACAATTAGCAGGTGCATTTCTATAGCTTCCATGAAATTCTTGAAAATATAAACTTATGGCATAATTTTCTGGAGCATTAATAAATACATTACAGCTTTCTTTATAATAATAGCTCCATGGATATCTTATGTTATAAATCATTCCATTAGGTTGAGTGTAATTTTGAGGACATCCTGAAAAATTGATAAGATATAAGTATATAAATTCAATAAAGAGAAATTTGAGTTGCTAAATGTTATGTTGCATTTTCTTCTCAATTTAAGAAATGAAAAATATTGGCATTTTCATTTATATTAATACACTTCTGGCCACTAAAATTACAACACCAGGAAGGAATGATCGTATGAACATCAAAGTCATATGAAAAAAGAAGAGGTTGGGATATGCAAATGATTAGTATTTCAGTGCTTTTAGACAATGCAGGAGGGACAAACAACATCTGAAGTACTGCATAAAAGAAAAGTTGTGCAGTGGATTTCTCATTCAGAAATCGCTTTGTAAGATCAGGGTTTCATCAGAATATCGTGTTATGCCTTGAATAAGAAGAAATGCTTACCAGCAAGTGTTGGAATTTGATAAAGGCAGGATCATTACCTATCAAGAATGTGGATTATCATTCCGTGATATTACCATTCACACTGGTCGAAATCCAACCACTGTCATGCGAGACAGTGGTTGTATTTCAACCAGTGCGAGTGGTAATATCATGGAACGATAATGGAACAATATGGAATCGATGGGTTGCTGAGGGTCTTACTGAACAGCATGCAGGATCTCAACGCCCTCCCATGACTAACACCCGAGACATATTGTGAGATCAGCCGGGAAAAACCGTACAACCACATCACGGACCATTAGTCAGGAAATGAGCTTGTTTGCAGCATGTCCAGTATCTGCTCGTATGGTGCAACGACGTTTGCAGCAGCATGGACTGTCAGCACGGCGACCATTACTTCAGCTCTCCTTGACAATGCAGCATAGAGAGAGATGGCGACTCTGGTGTGCCCAATGACAAAGCTGGATACAGGAGTGGCACAATGTCGTCTTTTCAGACGAGTCCCGGTTCTGTGTGTAGCATTCTGATGGCTGTATACGTGTCTGGAGGCTCCAAGCAGATTGCTTGTTGCCTGCTTGCATTTGATATTGGCTTAGGTGCCCTGCACCTGGTGTGATGATATGGGCAGCCATTGGGTACACGACACACACATCTCTAGTTCGGATTGATGGTAATTTGAACACAGATCAATACATTTCTGACATCTTACATCCAGTGGTTGTGCCCTATCTTCGAGGCCTGCAAAATGCCATCTTCCAACAAGATAATGCAAGACCTCATGTTGCAGTCGTGTTCTGACTTTCTCTGATACAGAGGATTCATCATTCATTCCTTCATTCATTTTTATTTACTATGTACTGTCAAGTACATTCCTGGCCCCACATGAAGCATTACCAGGAGATAAGCAATACAAATACGTTACAATATATATTCATAGAAAAATTAAATAACATTAAGTTGTAGTAATGATAAATAAAAAATAAAAATAAATTGTTGAGGGATATTGATAGGACGATCACAATTTAACTATTAACATTTACATAGATATAGAGTTATTTACTTCTGATATTTAATAATATTTTTTGTGATTAATATATATTTAATTATAAATATCTTGGTGAGTGAGTACTTATAGATTAAGAAGGTGAACAGAAATAACTGTTTCAGGTCTCAAGAACATAATTCTCAGCCTAAGTAGTTAGAACTTGGATTGACGTATGTTTTTGCCGCTTCAAGATGGAATGAAGTTGGGCAACAACACATTCCTTAAGCAGGGTATCTTGAGCAGAGTATTATAGGTAACACATCACCTCTGTAGCATAGGACAATTCCAATGTATGTCTGAGATATCACAAGATACCATTGGCACAGAACTTTCAGGCACTAAATACACAGATATGATAACAATCAACGCACAGGGTATGGCACATGAAGAACATCATCATCCCACGTAGAGAAAATGATATTCAATTGATACAGCGGATATTCAATTGTTGCCCTGGCCTGCATAGTCTCCAGATCTCTCACCAATTGAAAGCATTTGGTCATGGATTGTTGAGAGACTGGCCTGCTAACCCTCTTCTGCTAATACAGTTAATGAAGTGTGGCATAGACTTGAAGCAGCATGGAATGAGTTGCCTGTTTCAGTCATCCAAGCCCAGTTCAACTCCATGCTTAAATGGATAAGGGCCGTTTTAGCCACCGGGGGTGGCAACTGTGTCTACTAATTTTGCGACCCTGTAAACCCCCAAACTGCTTACAAATTTAATCATTTTGTCTTTATGCCATACTGCTTATGTACAATAAATATCTTTTTTTTATTTGCTTACCTTCTAGGTGTTGCAATTTTAATGGCCAGCAGTGTATCTGGAAATAGGTCAAATCCATGTTCTTTATCTAAATTTCCTATGAAGACAGGGTAATCTTTCTCAAGTAGAACTAAATTGAATGCTCAATCTCAGTTCATTGAATTTTTAGATGACATAAGGTCATCTAAAAAGTCTCAATTCACAGAACAGGAAAAAAATTGGATGCTATTATTGCTTTAAATAAATCTATTTATATGGTATTTCTAAATAATATGCAAATTGAAGAAGCCAGAGACATTTTAATATCAGATCTTCTAACAAAAATTGTTGACATTGTTAGAGAGATTCGTGGTGGGGCAAAAAATGTGGTTGAAAAAAGGGAATGTGAAGAAGAGTAAATTCGCTGAGAATTGCAAAGGGCTGTTCCATGTGATCAAAATTGTAAACCCTACGACATACTATATAGAAGGATGTAATTTTAAAGATGGAGAAACGGTCCATGTGGATCGATTAAAGATCTGCTATGGTCACACTGAATCAAGAAGGGGCGGTAAGAGTAGGCAAAACATGCACAGAAGAGAACTGAGGGAGTCTGAGATAGAAGAGGAGGAGGAAGCCCAAGATGGGTTAGACCACCTGGGCAATAGGGGAAAAACACATGGTATCAATAATATTCGTCCAGGCAAGAATGGTGAGGGAGAGGGTGTGCACAGGGGATGGTACAGTACAACTTATGTCACCAGCAAATTGACTTCTGTCATTTACACAACAGTAGTTGACATCTTCTGAGGGGAGATATGTAGTGCTTCGTGACTATTTTTTTTTGTTTCGGTTTTTCCCCGACCCCTTCTGTTTTGTTTGTGGCATCACCCTTCCCAGGTTCACCCTATGTTGGCCATCAAATTGGTTAGTAGTAGTCATGTGAAGAGGATATCCGCTTGGCACAATATAAAAGGTTGTGATCCATGTGTCAGAGGACCTTTTTCTTTATTTTTCTTGTTCAGGGATTTGCGGTATTCAGGTCATGTGCGGATATAGGAGATCAAGACGCCGAGCTTGAGAGGGTCGGGAAATGAAAATAGAGCAGGAGATATGGCAATCCGTTTATATCCGACTAAGGACAGTTTGACACTGAGTTACAACGTGTTTGAGAGAAAGAAAATCGTTGGAGGATTCATCCGAACGGATTAGTTTGTAAACTTTTCTTTTTTACGTGCCTTCGTTGTTCTCCCGTTATAACGTGTCGTGAGCCCCCTTAAAGGAGAGAAGGGAAGCATGTAATGTGTGTAGTATTTTATTGTACTACATGAATACTGTAAAAATTATCAATTTTGTGTTCTATGTATATATTGCAATTGTGCCAAATGGGCACAATTGCGATATATACATAGAACACAAAATTAATATATTAATATATATATACACGATATATTAATTAAAACGATTAATTAATTAAAAGCTATTATATCTGTCAAGCCGACTTGCCCATTATTTTTTTGTTTAGCCCTGCAGGCCTCGTCCTACTGGGACTTACCACAGTATATTGTAAATCAATCTTTATAAAACTTTACATTTATTTTAACTTTTATATAGCTTATGAATACAAATTTGATTCATCCAGTGGTCACTAACAGAATTTGAAATAATAATCAAACATCTGTAATAAAGGACTGAAGAAGAGCAGAAGGCCTGAAATGCATTTCCTGGTATTATAAAGTTGGAANAAAAAAAAATGATACGCTTACCTAGCGTAGGTGCGGGAAGTTACTCGACCTTTGTTCTGTGGCCATGTGGTTGCTCCAAAAATATCACAAAATAAAATGTGCGATGAATCCGATTATGCGGATGGAACAAAAATCGTTGAAATTAATGGCGTGAATGTCCAGATGAAATTGGATTGAGGTTGGATCACGTTCGGCTCACCAATGTGGCGACTAGTTGCCAACAAAAGAGTTCAGGTAGCACAATTGAATAGGAGTCCGTACTCTAGACGAGGAGTCGACAAAAGGACGAAGGCACGTGTTCGAATCGGTCTTTTAAAACCTCCGAACTCCCTCTGGTAGTGATCGGACGAAGTTCGGAATTGGTCGCCACAAATCCTTCTTCATTCACACATCTCCAAATATTGGAAAATATTTCCTTTCCACTCAAAAATAAAATATGAATAAAGGTTTACGGCTTTGTGAAACTTCTTTTTTGAGTTTATGCCGTTGAAATAAATAAATAAATAAATAAAATTTAAACATTTGTCGGTTTTGTTTACACATTTATTGGGCCTCATTGCAACTTGCCTTCAGCTGCATGGACACCCCTGACACCCCTGATTTACATTAAATAAGCTTCAAAATTATTTGTAAAACATAAATTCATAAACAAGTACCTTAACAAACTGGAAATAGATTTCACTTTAGCATACTCTGTATATATTACACAACTTTGCAAAAGAAGAGATAGGAAATGATATTAATGAAATAGTCTAGAATGAAAAATAGAAAAGTATAAGTTTGATATTATTTAATATAAAATAAAACTAATTAGTAATGACAAATCTACTATTTGCAGACATAGGTAATGGAATAAAAGCTATATTTGAGTTCTCAAAATCTAATAGGCAAAATAATTCTCACAAAACCTATATACTTTCTGTAAGATTACCTGATTAGAATGTTTTAGGTTTTATAATGTCTTTTCCAGCTATTATTCAAGAAAATAAGTATCTACCATATATGAAAGATTTCTGTAATTTAAGAATGTTATTAGAGACCTCTAGGAAGAGAATGTGTCTAAACTATTCAGTCATTAACTACAACAAAAATTTATAA